ATTCGGCCCTCGAGTGTAGCGCGTGCGATCTGCATCATCGTGAAATATAAGGATGTCAATCATAATCGACTGGACGATTTACAAACTCGCCTGGTCTAGGCTGTGGCATCGGCGACCTATCATATACATCAGTATCCAGTGCTATGGGGTTCGTATGAGACACATAGATCTCATACATCTGTGAGATCCGCGTTCGCTCGAATGCTTATACCAAGCACTCGTTTGGTTCGAGCCGCAGTCGCGACACACCCGGCCGGACCTTTCCGCTTGCTTGAGCTGTACGCCCAAAGAGGTCAAAAATGAGGAGCATGTATACCATCGTGAACTGTTCAACGGATATATCACAGAGACGCACCTTTTCCCGATTATAGCAGGATGAACCTACTCGGACAGATCAGCCATCTTCACTACAGCAAACAGGATGGAGTACACGCACAACGCGAGCGTGCCGTCCCTTTGTCGCTCGGATGTTTGTACCAAACACGACTGCCCTTTCCGCAGTCCAGACACACTACACCGTTCACGACGGCTTGTTCCGCCTGTAAGACCATATGTAGAGGTCAGAGCTGTACATGGAAGAGCGTGCGGGAGCAGGGAGAATAAGCAGACCCTGTGGCGCCTGTAGCAACGTTGACCTGGTGCATATGATTAGGGACCACAGAATTGCCACGTCAAAGTCTCAGCGATGTGAACGCACAGATTGGACCACCATCTGGATGAGGGAACCAGCGACCGGTCGTATATCTTGAGCCGCATTGCGTACAATTGAGACCTTTCGGATGCAGCTCTGCACGTGGCGAGGGTCTAGGCAGCAGCAATCAATCATAGTCGAGAGTTCCGCATACGACTCTCGAAGCTTTACTTCTCATCTGAGGCAACGGTAGCAACGGCCCGCTGGAACATGCGTCGCATAGCATGATGCTCAACTCGAAATATGCTTGAGCATATCCGGGTGGGAACAATTCTGGCCCTCGCGAACGACTGCGTTACGCGAGTCTGTGCGACGCGCTGGGAGAACATGGCTGAGAACAGGAGCGTCGTTGTGGCTCTCCCACTCATGAAGGCACTCCAAGCTTCAGTCCAGAGTGAGCGCTATACAGATGTGCACAACTGCGCACTGTGAGGTTCGAACCGAAACGCTTCGCGAGAAAGGCAAGATGGATGTTCGAGACGAAGCCAGAAAGTTCAGTGCGCGCAACAGACAACACGGATGACGTACCGCGCCTGACATATACGCCCCCTAACGCGCGCAGTCCGGCGTCTCGCCATCTCTGTCCTCGACCACCACTACCTCTTCTGACATCGATACCATGAGCAATTATCCAGTCCCGCCGCCGTCGTACGGCAGTGCCGAAGGCTCGCCCAAGCGAGGCAACTTCACTGAGGCTGCTGAGCCGCTGCTCGGGGGGCAGCGATTCGCTGCTGGGCCTAGCTCTGGCAATGCAGTCTACGAACAGCCTGCATTTGGGGATATCCCGGATGACTTCAAGGTATGTATTTCGGGCGGTAGTACTACCTGGGCTATGGCTGATCCTGAATTGCAGTATGGGACGACTGTCTCGGAATCGGCTATGGAAGTGCGCCAGATGTTCGTGCGCAAGGTGTACACCATTCTCTGTGAGTATTCTGCGCTCCATCGATCCATTTGTTGCATGCTGACCAATATCTCAGTCTGCCAGATCGTACGTTTGTCATGTGAACTGCACATCAAGTCGTAGTGCTAACGACCAACAGCTCGCAACGACCATTGTTGGCGGTATCATCTCCCAATCCCCCTCGGCTGTGCTCTGGGTCCAGCAGAAGTACGTTCTCCCTTTCTCTACGCTCCCATCATACGTAGAAGCTGACGCGCGCCCCCTAGCACCTGGGCCTTCTACGTTCCCTTATTCGGCACCCTGATCGTCCTAGGTCTCCTTTTCTGGAAACGGCACAGCCACCCGCTCAACATCGTCCTCCTCTCCATCTTCACCCTAATGGAAGCCTTCACCCTCGGCGTGGTCACAGCCTTCTACGACAACCGCATAGTCCTCCAAGCCCTCCTCATCACCACCGGCGTCTTCCTCGGTCTCACGCTCTTCACGCTCCAGAGCAAGTACGACTTCTCTGGGCTCGGACCCTGGTTGTTCGGCGGGTTGATCGCGCTGGTGATGACGGGATTCGTTGGGGTTTTCTTCCCGTTCGGGAAGACTATGGATCTGGTTTATGCGGCGGGCGGGACGCTGCTGTTTAGTGGGTATGTGGTCTATGATACGTACCTGATCAACGCGCGCTTGTCGCCGGACGAGTACATCATGGGCGCCATCTCGCTCTACCTCGACTTCATCAACCTCTTCCTCAACATTCTGCGTCTCCTCGCGAACTCGCAGGATCGCTAGATCGCCATGCGGAGATCCGGGAGGTGATTGGCACCGTGCTTGTTCTTTTCTTGTTCTGGGTTGTTTTGGATGAACGTTGCTGTACCTATGTATGATACCGGTTACCGGATTTGTTTGCTATAATACATGATCCACATTGTCATGAATGCCATCCCTGCGTGAAAGTCCAAGTGATAGGTGTACAGATATACAGTGGTAGTGGGTTATAGAAGGTTTAAACAAATCGCCATGACCTGAATTGCCGAAGAAGCCTCGAAGGGTATACGCTCGTTTCTCCTACTTACCTCTCCCTTCCCTCTTCTCCTCGCGTCCCGACCTTTCCTCTTGTCCTCGTACCTCTCCATTCTCCCCCTCCCTTATGCGCTCGTGCCCTCAGCGGCCGACGCCGCAGCCACAACGGCATTCGCAGCGCTCGGCGGCGAGCCTCCCTCCTCATAATCCGCATTGCGGATGAATCTCTTCTCCGGCGTTTGAGCATGGACGTTGGCATCGGCAGCGACATCCACGGCCTTAGGCACATCGCTCTCGTCCTCCACAGGCTGTTCCGAGAAATCGGCATTCTGAATGAACCTCTTCTCCTCGAATCCTCCATGCTGCTCGACGTTCTGCACACCTCGACGACGCGTACCGGCAGGAACGGACGGGAGCAGGTTGGACGGGACGTCAGCCTCGATAGACGGGCCCGTGAACCCGGGAATCTTCGCCGCCGTGCGCTTCTTGTTGTTGAAGCCCGAGTTCAGCCCGCCAGTGGCGGCGCCCGTGATCTTGGACAGGAACGCAGCGGGGTTCGGGTCCGCGTCGGACACGCCGTTGTCGGTGTTCTGGACTGTGTTGAAGTTGCCCGGGTTCGACGGGTTCGGGTTCGGGTTCGGGTTCGGAGTGGTGTTGCCGTTGAAGGAGTTGGCGAAGGGGCTGGAGTTGGACGCGGGGTTGGTGTTGGTGTTTGAGGCGGAGTTGGTGGAGGGATTCGCGTTCGTGGGGTTCAGCGAGGAGAGACCCTCAAGGCCGGGGAGGAAGCCGAATTGGCGGCGCGCGGGGGTCGGGCGCGCGGAGACACCGTTTGCGAAGTTGAGCGCGAGGAGGACGGACAGAGCTAAGATGCGGATCATGGTTGGCGAGCTTCGTTATTGGTGTATGTGTAGTGGTGTGTGTAGTAGTAGCTGTGGCGCTGAGTAGAAATGTGGCTCGCGAGGAAGCGGCGGGTTCGTTGACTGGCGGCGAGACGACTTGCTGATGGCGGTGGAAGCGACTGAGACGGGGTTCTGGACGAAGATATATAGTTGAATGTACATCTGGGTCTGGGCAAGGGGCGCACAGACATGCATATGTTAGCGAGGAATGTGAACAGTCGGTTGCGTTGGAACCGCAGGTCTCAGTGAGCAGGCGTCATGGACGTAAGGCGCTGCCGAAGGACAGGGATGAGACATGTACGCCAGTTTGGGTTGTAGACGCGTGTGTGCACGCGTGTGCGATAGCGCGCCCCGCCGAACGCGGAACCGAGCTCCAGTGCGAATATGACAAGGATAGCCATACTTGGATATCTCGAGCGAGAAGCTACATTCATGCATCGCCGTTGTCAGTGTATCCTGGAGACGTTCCCGCAGGAGAACAAGCAGGCAAGCCCAAGACAGAACAAAGACGCCCGTCGTTATTCTTGACGAAGCAGGGGTCCCCAAAGACCAACCGCCCTCAACAGACGCGTCTGTCCTCGCAGAACTTCTCAAGTGATAGCAGAAGTGAACACGGTCGAAACCAGTACATACATGGTCGAAAGCAAACACAAAAGACGGACCCGAAGATTAAACGACGTCACGGCGCGGGGCGGGCCGAGATCAATAGAAGCGTGTGCAGTTCTTAGCGCCTTAGCTCTGTTCGGCCAAGTTTGGGCATCTGCTTATGGGTCGTTCTCAGTCGGGAACGCCCACCATAGCTTGTACCGTAACCACCATGTTCTCCCCCGTAGCAGGTCCCTCGCGCATCCCAGACACTCCCCGGCCCACAAAGCAGGCCAGACGGGATATTCATCACCTCGACGTCGCCGGCAGCACGCTCGCGGGCATGCAACCCGGACCCGGACTCAAGGCGCTCCCGGACGACGTACTGTTGCTTATAATCGGGCTCATCGACGTCGAGGATATCATTGCGCTTCGTTTGGTGAGTTCGCTGGTTGCATGCGATGGGGAGTGCCACAGCTGAGCGAGTCATATATTTTGATATAGTCATCGAAGCGCTTCGGACCAGTTACACGCTTGCGGTGGGTATGGGCCGAAGCTCTCACGCGGCATGTACTCGACAAAGGCCTGCCTGTGCCAGCACCCGTGCGCGATCTCAAGACATTATCGTCAAAGGAGCTGGAGAACCGGACGAGACACGCGACGGCCTTTCAGCGCAACTGGACGTCGGTCCAGCCGGCGCCTAAACGGACGTTCGAATTCGCGGCTGGGAACGACGGGATGGATGATGTCCCCGAACCCGTGACGCACGTCCGATTCTTGCCTGGCACCGACGGCCGGCTCGTGCTCTCCGTGCAGCAGAACCGTGTGGTTTGCTGGGAGGTGCCGCTGGGCGGGGAGGACGCCTTTATCGTCGCGGAGCGCCATGTTCCCGGTGGCACGATATGTGATGTGCTCGTCAACGAGGACCCTACGAATCATGCAACAGTAGTCGTAGCCTGTGCGCGAAGACCAGAGTTCCACCCGTGCGTCCATTATTTCCATTGTCCCCCCTTATCTCCGCTTAGCGATGGCGCTAACATGATACCTAAACCAGTCCAACATCCCAGATGCGCGAGATCACTGTCGAGGCATGGCACATGGACAAGTTCTACGGCACGTTCACTACCCTCCGGAGCGATACGCTACTCGAGAACCTCCGCGGCCGCCTACTCCCGCTCATGCGTCTATGCGGCGACGTCGCTCTCATCGGCGATCCCGTTGCCGTATGGAACTGGCGTCTACCGGGCACATACACCATGCTAAACCCACACAATATACATGCCTCACCCGTTGTGCGTGTCCTTTCATCTCCGTCGTGCTTCTCCCACCAGCTGTCTGACATGCTTCACCCATGCTAGCCCGACCTTCTCCTCGCCGTCAAACCAGTCCGAGATTACCTCATCGTAGTCCGCCAATCGCACCTCCAACTCCTCCCCCTCCCCTCCTTCGACGCCGTCGGTAAACCCGTCCCCCGCCGACGCGATGCCGGCGCAGTATACGTCCACCTCCCCGACGCCGCGTCCGAAGCCACCATCGTCGTGCACCCTCTCACAGACGCCGAGCGTGAGAAGTGGCTGTTCGATCCCGTGACGGTCGTATTGCGGATCGTGAACGACTCGGGGGAAGCGGCGATACGGACGTTCGATATTGCGCCGCGCGCGGCGAACCTGGGCGCGGGAGAGCCGCCGCTGTGTTGTGCGGGGTGCGAAGCGGATCGGGCGAGGGTGCTCGTGCAACAACTGCCGTTCCGCCCACCCACGGCGCCAAGCGTCACTGTCCCAGCCCTAGCCTCCGCCGGGCGACTCGTGGCAAGCACCGGCTGCGCAGGCAAAGGCCTCTGGCTCGAAACGCAGACCGTGCGCGCGAAGAGGGAGACCTACTGCGTGCGGGCGTTCATCGGGTTCGATGTGGGCGCGAAGTATGTGGCGGAGGAGGGGAGGTGGAGGTTCGGGTTCAGTATACGGACGAAACCGATGTATAAGGCGAGGATGGGCACGGGGGAGGTCGCGCAGAGGAAGTTTAGGATTCAGGATGTTGCGATGGAGGATACTGTGGGGAGGATTGCGGTTGCGGGGCAGGATGGGAGGGTTATGGTTATGGACTATGCGTAGGCGTGCGCGCCGATCATCGGGGTGGGGAGGGGAGGATGCGTGATGGGGCGGAGGGGAGGTGTTCGTTCTTTGGGTCACTCGCGCCTGCCCTGCTTTTCGATGTCCTTGTTGACTGAGCTCTGTTTGTTGTGCCACCGTCCGTTCGTCTCTTGTTCTCTCCTGTTCTTCTCCGTCGTTGTGTTTTCATTAGTAACAAATCAAAAGGTGTACGATAGGCGATTTATCAATGTGTGATCAAGAAGATACCCGAGGCGTTCTCGGATGAGCGATAACGCCGATGGTGTGGTACAGCCCCAACCGCCTGCTCGGGAGGGCGGGCTTGTTGTGCGAGGGTATGTATCTGGAAGGTATTGTGCTAACGGGCATCGGCGATAGCCCAGTCACAACGGCAACACAGTAGAATCTCGAAGGTGTGTTCTGCAGTTTGTCTATGAACAACAGTATCCATGGAGCTGACTTGTTCTTCTATGCTTTGTCTAGTGTTGACGTGTTGCAGACCCTTCCAGCAGTACCGCCTCGCGCCCTGTCCGTGAACAAACGGGCTCGGACAATCGAGATGAAGCGATCCGACTTCCAAGGCTGCAACCATTGTCCATGCTCGATGTACTTGTTCGAAGCCGCAGAGATTCCCATGATTTCTTTCGATATGGGAATGCTCGAGGTGGCCTTGTTTGCGCTGAGGCTATAAAGTGCGCCAGTGCCGGTACTCTTCCAACATCACCACCCCGACTACTCGCAACCACTCGTTCCCATCCTTCCGACCAGCACCACTAGGATGCACACGTCTAACCCGTTACAACTCTCCCACTCTTGGCAAAACTGGTCTAACGAGTATCGCCCTGGACCGCGAGAGCGACTTACTCAGATATACGATTCACCACCGCACAGAAAACCGCGTGATCTGTGGCAAGAGGCGCGATGGGCCGTATGCGACATCCGCGATGGGTTCAATGCCCTCGCGCACGTAGTTCTCGAATACGGGACCATGAGCCAGGCATACGTGCAAGTCGACTTCAGCAAAACGGAGTCCGGGGCGCCATATGATGGCATGAAGCCACCTCGTGAATGGCCGGAGGTGTTCAGACCATATTTCAAGGACATACAGCGGAGGTTCGAGGGAACGCCTAGTCCATTTGAGAGGGAGAATGGAGGCCCCTTCGAAGACGGTTTCGCAAGCACTGTTGCCAAATGGGCGGAGAAGCTAGTCTACCTCATCATCCTCGCGCAGACGAAGGGCAGACCAAGAGCGTGGCCGGACACGGTGGACCCTGAACGCCAGCTCGGAACTCAGGATAAGGACTCCTTGTACGACCTTCAAAAACGCTTGGTCTGGGCGCAGGATCTCTCCCGGCTGCACGACGAATCATCTTATGAGCTGGAGGACGGCCCCAGGTTTAAGCACAAGGTGGATTGGACACTCCAGTGCCGGTCAAGACTATTATTCTACTCCTCGGCGTCGATACAGCTGGCAGACATAGAAGCAAGATTCTCGCCAAGATGCGGCCCGGAAGAATCCCTGCGTGTGGTCAGACACTTTATGAATGTGGCAGCCGGGGATCTACGACTAATGCTTCGTCACGGTGAGGTACAGCCGCATAAGAGATGGTGGGATGATTACCGAACAAACCACGAGGGCTTTATCATTCGCGTGCTCGACGACTGCCTGGACGACCGTCCATTTACTCTTGATTATCCGACGATCTCCATCTCAGAGGTGGTCGCTAACTTCGCTCGCCTGACATTATCAGGATACCACCCCACAAGTACTGCATCCACTGTCTCCGTGAATCAACACGAACTCAGCGGTGAGGAACCCGACGGGAGCGCTCAGGTTAGGAGTCACGTCCAACAGGATGTATCTGTAGGCGTGGGTGGAGATGGACCAGGAGATGAATCCACCAACAGCTTGAACACTGGTAAAGATGACTCTCCACTTCCATCGGACCTTCTCTTGTCGCCGATTTGAGAGCCTCGGCCTGATATTGTATGATATAGCTAGCATACGTCATTGTTGCCACTTGTGACTGCTGCGCTACTATACCTCTCTTCAATGCTGCCGTCATAGTCAAGTGTAGGATGTACGAATGTGACTGCTGGAATGTTTATTCGATTGGACTTCAGTCGTGTCATGTTTGATCGAGGTCTGATTGTACCGTCTCTCGCTTTAGTTCAGCCATGGCCCGTCAAGTGAGCTCTCCGGAAAGCTGGCATTCCCTCGTTGTGAGGCGGTGAGCTGGCCGTCTTGAGCGAAGTACGGTGACCGGTGTCGGCGAAAATCAGCTTTCCGAACAGGGCCGAGGCCCGAGGTTCTTACGCGTGCAGTCACAGTGTGACGACCAAGCGACGCGCGGACGCGAACATGCCGCGTCGCTGTTTGTCTTCCCCGCGCATCATGTCCGATCATGAGGACGAAACAGACGAGGTTTCCTCAGGTATACACTTAGGCAAGCCAGATTATATTGTATGCTGGACTCAAGCGTCACGCAGACATCCTTGCCACGCGCCACGCCCATGTGGACCCCTCAGCTATGCTACGCGACTTGACCGACTTGGCCAACGAACTACACCGCGTAGTGTCCAGGCTCTCTCCTCACATTTTGAACGGTTCGGAGCGGAAAGAGAACATTCTGTCTATCATCCAGAAGTGCGTACCCCGCACCTACGGACGTAACAGAGAGACTAACTGCGCGTTGTCTCGCTGACCAGGGTGTCCTCACCTACCCCCGCAAAGTCCAAGATCGACCTGCCTGCTGATGTCGCACCACCTTCATACCTGCCTAGGGTATCCGCCGGCATTATTGGAGGTATGACGTGTCAGCACAATCATGCAAGAATCAAAGACTAACGACGGCTATCGTAGGTACTGGGTCGGGCAAAAGTACGCTGTTGCAGGCTTTGATCGGGGGTACGTGTTCCTATTCGAGCCGATTCTATCAGTATATCTCACTGATACTGCGTACAGAGAAAGTCTCTCCGACTAGCTCTAATGGGAGTGCGTATCCTGTCGTTATCCCCGAGCTAATTCGAGTTCTCACGCGCGTTTAGGAGGAACCGCGTTCCCAACCATGATCATGTATCACGGCCATGACTATTATAAAGCGTCACTCACTTTTATGGCGCTGGAGCACGCACGGACCCTGGTCGAGAGCGCGTTTGACGTGATTAAGCCCGACGAGAATGGTCGCTCCATGTCTTTGACAGATCTCCAGAAGGATCCTTCCTATGCATTCGTATGTTCACGTCCTTGCGGGTTCGTTCATACCCCCTGATGTGACATTTCAAGGTCAAAGAAGCGTTCGGAGCCGACAAACGGGACTTGCAGCTCATCGTAGACAACAATGCCAACGAGGAGGAAGACAAGCATGCAGAACGGTTTCTTCAGCAGTTTCCAGGTAAGCGCTCTCGAATCCTCAAACCCAAGGAATGTCTTCTAAGGTCCCATCTTGCTCAGATATTATGGAGCTTCTGGGTAACACGATCCATATTCAAGAGAATGAGAGAAACGTATTCGAGACACGCCTGAAACCATATCTGGGATCTCAGAATCGGAATCATGTCAAGGGCCCTAAGAAGTGGGCTATTCTCTCGAGGAGTCTTGTGTGCTGCAGAGCGAAAGGTCTATCTAAGAACGCTCTCATCGTTGACATGCCCGGTCACGGTGATCATAGCACCACTGTTCTACGGGTGACGGCAGACATGGAGTCAAAACTTGACGTCAAGTTCGTCGCTGTGCCACCCGTGCGCGCGACGAATGATCGAGGTGTCAATGGTAGGACTCTCATAGATGGAATATTGGGGTTGCAACTGAGGCATTTGTAGACTACATGGGCGAGGAGATCGCGCGGCGGAGGAATACAAGTATGTTCGTCGCTATTCCACTGCTCTCCTGTCCATTGATCGTACATTCAACTAGATCTTGACCAAGAGACGTACGTTCCGTGAATCTGGTCACGACGGGTGTTAGCAACTGATGTTTTACAGTTCTGCCAGCTCCAGTAGGCTGGCTGTCATCTGTGAGTTATCATTGAATCTAGTTCTAGTAAGGTTGTGTGTCGTCTTACCAATGTCGTGGCTAGTAACACAGTGCGATGCGCTCGATGACAAAAGTGTTTGCAAACTTGAAGCGGATAGTGATGTTGGCCCAGTATTAGACGATGACATGGAGTTCCAGGCACTCTCGGCTAAGATTGTCGAGGCGATGAGTCAACTCGAGGAGAAGCAATCCGACTTGAAGTCACTTCGGGAGCTAGAAGATCGTGAGCAGTTGCTCTATACGTATGGTGGAATATGCTGGGACATTGACGTTGCGACTTCTAGGCATCGGGCCCGACGGGCATGAAGATGCTTCGATCGATCATACTGTGATTGGGTCAGGTGCCGTGAAGCGTGGTTCTCAGCGCGGCTCTCATCCGCCCAAAGCCAAGCGGATCAGACTTGACACTTCGGGCGATTCCCTCTCCACGGATATTCATGAAAGCGCGGACGACAAGGAATCTGACATACTTGCTACTCTGGTCGACGTCAGGGCTCGCCGCAAACAGGCAGAAGCGGACGTGGAGGCGTTGAAGACGACGGTTGACCAGAGCTGCTCGCAGCGTCGGCTTTGGGCTTGGAACACAAAATACTCGGTTAGCAGTTTGGCCGAGTAACGACTTCGGTGAGTGCAGAAGTCTTACGAATGCTTCCAGCTCATTGCCTCCGATCTTCGTCGATTGTTCGAACATAAGCTGCACGAAACCACCCGAGATACTGACGGTGACAGTACGCGCCTCGTTTTCGCAAATGGGACTTAGTCTGACAATGATGCATAACGCGCTCAATAGTCAATATGGAAGGCGGACCGAAGAACACCCCCCTTCCTGTGTTCGCGACAGCTGCCGACGATTTCAACAACTTGAAGGACAACATCGGTCAGCTCATGCCGGTCCTGCACCCTCTTCGTAAACTTCGTTACTAACGCTTGACTCAGAGCTCGAGCAACAGACGGGGATCCCCGCACTTCGAAAGTTCATCTACCACATAGGAGCTCGGGCCGAGAACCAAGCGATTCTTGATCTCCTTCAGAATTTCCGCATGGCACTCCAGTCAACAGTCACGTCCTTGAATGCTGCCGGCCGCGAAAGCATGGGAGAGAAGGCACTGCATCAGAAAGAGGCCTTCAAGACGCGATGGGCAAGCCCTAGCTCAGTATCGGACCCCAAAGCCCAAACAACGAGTACGCAGCGCTCCATTGATATACAAGACACTTCTCTCTGACACTAGTCATCATGTAGCGACTGTTGAACCCGGCCCTTCGTCCACGGCTGCCGAAACGCCCCCCAAAGGCATTAGAGTCGAATTAAGTGCTGTGGGTTCTCGTTCGCTCTCTAGTATTGTTGAAATGCATCAACACTTACCATATAACGCCCGTAGATGTTTGAGCAGAAGGTTAGAGCGAGAATCGAAGTAGCGCGTGCCGATCTCAAGGTGCTTGAAACTGCTTGTGAAAAGGGAGCTGAGGATGTTAGTATCAATGTACTGAAGACGTACCGTTGTCGGGCATTCTAACATCGTGTCTAGGCTATCTCTGCGGCCAGGGTGAAGGCACAATCACTGGTCGATCAAAAGGAGCACTGGGGGAAGCATCGAGCCGGTACGTGGACATTTCACGTATCCTAGTCAGAGTTCGTTCTCTGAGCGTCTCGCCCTTTAACACAGCCATGAAGAACCGCGGCATCTACGGGACGCTCGGAAATTATAATGATACCTTGGCTGAGCCTCTGGTGAACGCTGTGAAGCAAGCTTTGAGGACCTACAGTAGCCAGAAGATATTCGGCGGCCTCAAGCCTGTTCTCGTCAAAACGGCCGACGATCTTCTTCGACAGGTGCACGAGTCTACGGTGGGTTACGAGCACGATGTGATACAGGGAGTACAGGCTGCCACGACAAGATGGAGATCCAGACTAGATTCAGAGATCCGCATTCTTGCAGGGATTGTAGACTCGGTGATAAAAGAAACCGACTATCTACCCCTCTCAAGCACCGATTTCTTCAGCGACGCGGTCATGGATCATTTGCGCAGCACCTACTCCGAAGCTGCTTCTTTTCGAGGTCGAGGAAGCGTTGAACGGATGAAAGTGAGGGACCCCGTTGGAAGCGGGCTCAGCACTCCGGACTAACCTCATCTGCGCGTCAGGTCCACTTTGTCGACGCAGTGAACAGTAATAGCGCGGATATGTTCCACGAGATGACGAAGACTTTCATCGGACGTCACGCTAAGCTACTCGATCGACTTGAATTCAAGATTCTGAAACGATTGCGTCGCCTCTCCGAGAAGGTTAGTGAAACATCATGTACTCAATGGGTCAATATACGGTCAAGACTCACGGGATTTTCGTGCTCTACAGTGCGAAATGGAGGTCTCGAACGCATGGTTCATCCCAGCCAGCAACAGGTACCAGCTCAGACATCGCGCTGAAGCTGTGAAAGACGTCGATGCTATCGAACGTCGTTTGGAGAAGTTGGAGACTGACCTCGTGAATGATATGGAGGAATCTGAGAGGGACGTCCCAACATGTTACCCTCCTTGTGGGCCTCCAATTGGATTGATATAGAGAGCTTTCGGCATCAGGACTGCGTACTGGATATCTTCGAATCTTTCGGATAACATTTGGATACATCAAACATGGAACCTGGTTCATAGCCTGCGCTTGCTTGGACCCACTACATACCCTTATACATATCATACATAGGTTGATACTAGCTAAAGTCCCGACGTCTTAGATCATCTGTTCTAGGCACACGACGAAGCCCCTGCCGCGAGTGCGGACGGGGCTCAAGAAAATCCGGAAGAGGTAATGGTGGTGCAGGTTCAGGCGGCGGCTTCTCCGCGTGTTGCCGTGCATATTCACGATACACTGCCTGAACGGGCTGACGCGGCGGTGCGCTATGTGGTCGAGCCGGGCCATCGAAGCGATGAGCTGCATGCGGGATGTAGGGACGTTGCTGAGCGTCGTACATGCTCGGGATAGGCGATCCAGAGTCACCGCTTCTCGTCACAGCCAACACCTTCGTGAACTGCTCAGAGAACCGCGGACCACCGCTGGGCATGTGCGACTCCGTGTCATCCGCTTCAGCCTGTCTTCGTTCGAGGAGTTCGCGGTGTCGCTCGGTGTGATGGCGATACTGCTCGTAGATAGTTTGTGGGTCCAATGGCAATACTCCATGCCCTTCTTCCTCGCACAGCATCCGCAAGTGTTCGCGTGCGGCGTGCAGCTGGCTCTGCGCCGAGCTCTGCGAAGTCGAGCCGTCCTGCGAGATCATCTCCACGAAGCGGCTTCCCTCGCTATCTCGAGCAAGAGCTCGAGACAAAAACGAGCGCGGTGACGGTAGGAACGACGGGCCCGGCCCGGGAGGCCGTGGAGGCTCGAGATCAGGATTCGAGTACGCATCTTCGGATTGCGAGTCCGAGAGACGTTGCGGCCAGAGGCGCATGCGCTGCACAGCCTTCCCAAGCTTTCGCAGCGTCGGCTTGGGCTCCATAGGGCCAGGGAACACGATAACATCGCCGTCAGAGTCGGTCGCAGCTCCGAACTCGAGCTGTCGATTGCGATCCTCTTCCCGCCAGGCCTGCTCCTGCTCACTGCGGGCCTCCCACAGGTCGAGGGAGCGTTGCGTGACAGGTCCGTGCCATCGGGAATAGCCGAAGGGCTGTGGCGTCCACCATCCTGTGTCAGGGTCCTGGTCCGTGGGCGCACTCCGATTTGACCATCTGGCGCTAGTAGGTGGGCTATCGTGAGGATGCGAGGGATCGAGTTGTGGGCTGGACGAGCTGCTCGAATATCGAGCCTGTTGCGAGGAAGGAGGGCCGTCGTCGTCGTCTCGACGGCGCCTCATGATCACGTTATCGCCGTCAGAGTCGGAGGCATCATCGTCGCGCTCGACGGATGGGGGACGGGGACTGTGGCGTTCGCTGAGCGGTCTTGGTCCGTGTTTGATCCTAGGAAGTTGGATGCGCGAGGATAGCTGGTTCACTTTGAGATTAGCTCCCGCTCGCATGGTAGAGTAGGTGTGGACGGTGCTTACGGTGTCGAGTGGAGAGGCGGCATTTAAGTCCCTCTCTCTCAAGACGTCAGGTTCTCCGGGAATGCCCATCTGATAGGGGCCAGGTGTGGTGTGATTTGGCGCGCACAGGAGCGAGGCGTAGTCTTATATACATGCGTGCGGGAAGACAAAAGAGCAGAAGTCAGAATCCTATTCCCGCATGCCTCGTTCGCGCGATTATTCGACAAGGTGAAGCCCTGTACTCGATCCGAGCTGGGTGGCAGTAAAGAGGCGGGATGAGGGACGTCGGTGACGGTCTAGATGAGCGAGGCGGTGGTGGTCGGGGCTAAAGCAGTCGCTTCTCGCGCGCTAAGGAAGCCACAGCTCCACGCGCGGTGGCTGAGGCGTAACTGGCTTGCCTTCGACGTCGATGTCCACCTCGACTTCGTCTTCATCTCCTGACATAGATTCCCATGGGCGCAATCGCGCGATGCGTGTCAACCCTTGATTGATATCATTCACGACTATGTTCGGTGAATCAAGCGATACGAGTGCGAATAAGGCTATGGCATCAGTTCTTGAGCAGCTTCATTTAGGGGATTTCGGATCTTCGGCGCTTCATTTCCGGTG